CTGGACAGACAGATGAGCAGATAGGTTTCCTCTGTCCTCCTCTCTCAGGCTGCCTCCTCTCTCGGCGTGCTGTGGAGAGTGACTGCTCACAGCCCGCTTGGCATATCTAATTAGAACCAGGCTGCTGCCACTATCGGGCAGAGGATCTACCTCTCCAATCTCTCCTGACTCAATCTTCCCCATCTCTGATTTTCTTTTATATTTATGCTGGAATATTTAATTGTAGACAAAAGGTTACTCTGGGCTCTATTCATCACACACAGGCAGAATAATCTCCTTTAAAAGGCTTGACATTTCAGGCTTTTCAAAAGGGGCTGAAAAAATTATATCCCCGCTTTTGTTAATCAATGAAGTAGAACTCCCCCGAACAAAAGAATTAAATTGCTTGGTTGGGTTAATAAAACACACAGAAATAGCTGCTTCCTGTGGGCTTTTGTGCCTGCCACTGGCTCCCCCCATATGCAACCAGCACTGTAATTCCATATGATTTGGGGGGCAAAACTCTCATTTCTCCACACAGTTGGCTCTTTAAATCCTATTGAATGAGCTGTCTGTGAGGCTGGCTGATTGGGACCTCTTGCCTGAGCCTGGCTGCCTGGCTAGCAGAACAGGCTCTCTCCATTTAAATATGACTTACACTAAGGAGAGACAGCGGGTCCACTACAATTTACAATTTCTATACTACCCCTGCTTCAGAAAAACATTGTAATTATGCAGATGATAGGGGCAATAATTAGACCCTTCACTGTCCCATTGTGTTAGCTGCTGCTGCGTTTCGGTCCAATGGTAGGAGAGACACTGAAGGGCACATTCGGCTTTAAATTGCTCCTTACAGACAGCCTGCAGATGTTCACAGCATCTTCGGCCCTATAACTAGCCATCACCCCGAGCCAGGGTGTCTCCATGTACAACACTGTAACTGCAGAATCTGGTGTAGCTGTGGGAGAGCTGAATCCCATTGCTGCATACAACTATTGTTCATGTTCATACTCATCAAACCACTCGGTGACCCCTCGCACCCTATGGATGGGGACGCTGTCATCATCAAAGAGACCACTCATTTTTTCAGGTTTTACCTTGAATCTGTCACCCATATGGATGTACAGTCATATCCAAATACTTGGACAAACTAGGCCTAACTAGATGAATATCACTGATCTGTGTTTAAAAAAAAATCGGCATGTGGAGCCTAAAAATATCAAAAAATTTGAACTGATGGCCAAGAAAAAGTGGGCAAAGATTCCTAAGTTCAACAGAAAGGCAAAAAAGCATTTGTAGCTTTGAAATGGCCATACCTTCCCAGTTATCTTTGATTTGGTGCCTTGCATAAGTTGACTCAAAATATTTCTGGAGATTAAGAGTTAATTTCGTTTTTTACATTTCAGACATCTTGGCTACATACAGTATTTCAATAGAATGTCAGTGACTATATATACTGTTGAAACAACAACTAAACCTAGAGATTTAAAAATTCACTTTTCAAAGCCAAATTTGGGCCAGAAAGTGTTAAATGTTTGTATGCTAGCTTACATTAGCCAACATTACACTGTATGCTAACAGCGGCATTAGCTTGACAATACGAAGTCACAGCTAGCTCATCTTTAGCTACCATTCCAGTCAACAACAATGAAATATAGTTGAAAAAAATTTGTTTTCAGTTACAACAGCATGCTTGACGCACAAATTTGTGTCAAAACCTGTGTTATAAAGTTGTCAAATCTGAACATATTGAAAAGACACATATTATTAGGTTCACTATAACTTACACCCCTCCTTGAACCGCCACCTTATTGTGGTGGAGGAGTTTGAGTACCCGAGTGATCCTAGGAGCTATGTTGTCGGGGCTATATGTCCCTGGTAGGGTCTCCCAAAGCAAACAGGTCCTGGGTGACGGGTCAGACTAAGAGCGGCGCTGCCCGGCAGGCGGCAGCCGGGGCCCCACCCTGGAGTCAGACAGGGTCGAAGACAGGGGCCGAGAGTCGAAGACAGGGGCCCCGACGACCCGATCTCTGGACACGGAGACTAGCCCTGGGGACATGGAATGTCACCTCGCTGGTGGGGAAGGAGCCCGAGCTTGTGCAGGAGGTTGAGAGGTACCGGCTAGATATAGTCGGGCTCACCTCCACGCACAGCTTGGGCTCTGGAACTTTACTCCTCGAGAGAAGCTGGACTCTCTACTACTCTGAAGTTGCCGGTGATGAGAGGCGGCGGGCTGGTGTGGGCTTGCTCATAGCTCCCCAGCTTAGCCGCCATGTGTTGGAGTTTACCCCGGTGAACAAGAGGGTCGCTTCCCTGCGTCTTCGGGTTGGGGATAGGTCTCTCACTGCCGTTTGTGCCTACGGGCCGAATGGCAGTGTAGAGTACCCGGCCTTCTTGGAGTCCCTGGGAGGGGTGCTGGAAAAGGCCCCGACTGGGGACTCCGTTGTTCTACTGAGGGACTTCAACGCCCACGTGGGCAGCAACAGTGACACCTGGAGGGGCGCGATTGGGAGGAACGGCCCCCCCGATCTGAACCCGAGTGGTGTTTTGTTATTGGACTTCTGTACTAGCCACAGTTTGTCTATAACGAACACCATGTTCAAGCATAAGGGTGTCCATCAGTGCACATGGCACCAGGACACCCTAGGCCGGAGGTCAATGATCGACTTTGTGGTTGTTTCATCTGACCTCCAGCTGTATGTCTTTGACAATCGGGTGAAGAGAGGGGCAGAGCTGTCAACTGATCACCACCTGGTGGTGAGCTGGATCCGATGGCGGGGGAGGAAGCTGGACAGACTCGGCAGACCCAAATGTATTGTGAGGGTCTGTTGGGAACGTTTAGCAGAATCCCCTGTCAGAGAGATCTTCAACTCCCGCCTCCGGCAGAGCTTTGACC